GAGACTATACCACTCTTTGGCTTAATTTGATGCCATTTCGCAGCCTTAAAGCATGTAAACACCATGTTTGCATGCAAACCACCACTTTTGGGAATTCAATTCTGTTTCCTTTTCCGGGCGTGTCGTCCGGACACGTCTTCGGTGGGCGAAGCGGCGAAGCGGTCGTGACGAAAGGTGGGCCGCTGGCGACCACGGAACGGCCACCAGATTGGAACGGAACGGACGAAAAGGAGTACAGCATATCAATTAAACTCAAGTATATAGACCTTTCTTTTTTTATTCTTAAAATTAGCGGTGGCCTCCAACCTACTAGCGGCTACTAGAGATGGCCTCCTGTTTTAAGGCACCGGAGTCCGCCGGATTGCCGCTGTGTCCAAGACCATGGCCGTTTACAGTAGAACTGATATAGGGCGAAGTCAGGGTCAGTCACTGCCAAGTCCCTAATATAATGTATGTTAGTTGTGATTGAGCCCAATCTTCTTGTGTTTAACTTAACGGTCTACACCTCATCCCTAAGCCTTACTGTAACTGCAGGGGTGGGGGAGTGGCTTGCCTGTCCGCCTAGTGTTGCACCGGGGATTGAATCGTCCGACGCACGAGGGAGGCCTCCTAGCCACTAGACCACAGCGTCCCTCATTGGGCCCAGTCTTTATCACGCTCTTTGGGCAATTTGGTTGGTGGGGCCTATAGATGCAGAAGTATGTTAGGGACACTCTCCAAAAGCATGGGTTCCTGCAGCTTGGCCAAAGGCATGATGGTAGATAGATCCCAACTTTCCATCCATACTTCGCACATTTATATACTTCGCACACAATACCCCCATTATATGAGGATGTGGCAAATGATCCACTGCAGGCCCTACCATTCCTGGATCAACTACTGTCGCGGGGGGGTGGCTTGGACGGCCTTGTGTAGCTGGGCCCGGCTGAGGTTTTCTTCCGAGCTGTGGTTTTCCGGGCAGCAAGCGTCCCTCTGCCAAAGACTTCAATAGCTACATCGATTTCTTGATTCGCTACTTGGTGGAAGAAGGGGAGGGATGGGGAGGGGATGTGGGTGTTCAATGTAGTTGCTGTATACATGCTGGGGGGTGGAGGGATGTAGCTTCTTGGAGGTAAATGACTCATGTCATGTGCATGATAAATCTCAAATCTCACATGTGTCAAATGATAATCTAGGGGCGTAGAAAAAACACCGAGGGACTACCGAGGAATGTAGGACGGGGAGATTGTATCGAACGACATTGGGAAATGAGACATGGGACACTTATATTATATCTTCATTGCTGAAATTGGCAGGCTTTGGAGGCTTTGGTATGTCTTGATGAGCTTGAATTAAAGCTATACTAGCTTGGAATGCATGTATGCTGTATGTATCTGTATGTCATGTACTATTGTCCGATATAGTATCCTGCTTTGTTTTAGAGATGAAAACGGTTGCGCACGTTGAACCGGACTCATGCTTTGCATGCCAGCTATGGCCCCGCAGCCCACTTTGGGTGCTTGAGCAGCTTCTGAGTGCTGTCCTTGGCATTCCAAGAAACCCGCTTCCACCACTTCCACCACTTCCCCGAGGCGACCAACTGCCAACCACACACAAAAAGAGCACACATTTAGTTTCATCAACTCGCACCAGTCTTGCATCTCAGACCAGCGCAGATTGGAGGCTTTTCGTCTCTCAAACGCCATGGCCTACCCGCTGGTCACTACCGTGCCAGACGATGGCTTTGTCCCCTTCAGCCGCCGCAGGCTTCGCTATGGCTCAAGCGCCCGGAGCGAGGAGAGGAGCTGGGCACCCAAATGGCGACGCCTGGTGGCGGAGCGCACCGACTTTGAGGAGTTTGATCGCGTGGTGCGAGGTGGGCACATGGCTGGGCCTGAGTTGGTCGACGTTTGGGCACCCTGATGGTACTTGGGGTTGCCTCCAAGACAGACAGCCCAGGGCCACGTCGGCGATTTGCGTCCAACCAGCACCAGTGAGGACCAAGTAGGGTATTATATATATATATAATGGTATTAAACTTGCAACACCAAATTGAGATGTGGAAAACTTCATCAGCCACTGGCTGACCTTTTGCCAGGCATGTTGAACCGCATTAGCACAGAGAACGCGCGGCTGATCTTGCCGCTGGAGCCCACACTGCGGGGAGCTGAAGGTGGGGATTGTCCACCTTGGTGGGCGGCCCGATGTGCCTTGGCCGCACAAATCCAATGATCAAATCGTCCTCGGAGGCTTTGGAGTGAGGCTTGAGCAGGTCTCAGATCAAACGATCAAATAGCCTTGGTCACAGCTTTGGAGGCTTGATGGTTGCTTTGGGCTGAGCAGGTCTCTGACTGAAAAGGGTAACCCCTCCCCTGAAAAAACGTCCAATGTCTTGAGCAAGGCCATGTGACGCTTAGCAATCTTGCTGATGTGAGAGTTCGCAGGAGGCATTCAGCGCAGCTAGCCCAACCAACAGCACAGGCTCAGGATCTAGAAGTCAAGCCAATTAGAAAAGGGTGCTGGCTTGTTGGCTGTATGCCTCACAAGATCTCACAAGAGATGTGATCAATGTTTGTTTACGAATTGTGAACAATCGTTAAAGTGGACCAGGTCAGGAAAAACACTCTTCCGAGGGTCCGAGGGTTTTTGTTCTTGATCACTGATCTAGCATCATAGAATATATACATGCCTTTCGTGAGAAAAGCTCCCCAAAGAAACAGGGTTTAATTTATTTCATCCCAGCTCGACCCATCACCCCCTGAGTGGAGAGTAGTAGTTCGGTTTCAAGATCACCTGCTGTTTCTCCCTCTTCGAGACTCAGCCACGTCCAGGTGCTGCTTTGATGCTGAATCACTACATCCAGGTGATCCACACCAGCAGATGCGCACGCGGGCTGGCCATGAGGAGTACTGACAATGTCCTCCCGGAGTATTTGGATGCCGCTGCACGGCGGAGATTAAGACATATATATTAAGGCGAGGCCTCTCAAACACGAGGCTTTCCTGGACAAAAGTTGCTTTCCTCGTTTTGCCTGTGCGCCGCTCTTGGGGCTCAAAGCCCATGGTGAGGGCCCTATCCCCTACAAAACTTATGGCGACTAAACGGCATAGGGATGGTAGGGTTCCAAGGGATCTTGGCGACCCTGCACCCTACTAATCTTATGGCGACGAACTGGAGTAGGGATGTGCAGTGTGAGAATGAAGTAGTGAAATTGTCCGCATCCCTACACTTGTAAGGCGAAAGAGCCAATCTCATGAGTCTTTATTGTGCTGAATGTTGACTATTTTGGCATCAGTCCATTCATTCTGTGGCTATGCGACTTGACAGCTCCCAATAACAGAACGAGCTTTTAAAATTGGTCACCATGTGCTGGTGCCAGGTGCACAGACTTTGCTCCACACCCACACCGTGGCCCACACCTGGCCCCAGCCGAGGTTGCACCTTTGTTGGCCAGAAGCCCCAGGCTTGTGACGGCATTGGTTGCATGGGTGGCGAGGCTGCTGAAATGGCCACTGGGCTTTGTTTCATGGATGAGTTGGGGGCCCTACCCTGAAGAACCTTGAAGATATGAGCTACCCTGAAGATGTAAGGGTGGCCCTGACATGCCGAGACACGTCTGATACACACAATGACTTGTAGTTACGTGTATCAAGTCCGAACATGCTCATCCTCATGCCTCTCCTTGTCCGAGTTCCATGTGATCACCATTTGCCGCATCAATCCTTTCATCTCCCAAAGCTCTGGAGCAACGCAAAACGGGCGAAAACCGATGAAAACGGCGCCCTCGCTCAGGTATGACCTTTGCTGGCCGACCACGCGCTTGCTGCTGTTGGCCGCTAAGGAGCCACGCGAGAAGCATCAGCTGCCAAGCCATGCCTTGGGACGTTTGCCCAGCGAGGCGCCTTCAGGGTGGAGACACAGCCGGGTTGATCAGACGCAGTCCGGTGTGAACGTGCATGGCAACGACCTTGAAAAGGGATGAACCATGGAGTCCGAAAGTCTTCGGAATATGGCAGAGGAGAACCTATGACATCCTATATAATATTCAGAATCCATCTAACCCACGGACAGAGGATCGTTACATGATGTTACATGTTGATATTGTTTGTTTTTCCTACTACGCATTTCATCAGTGTGACCCATCGCCCGCCGAACCCCTAACCAACTGAGTACCCACCTGGTGCTACTCTATAAATTATATGTTCAACCGGGGGGGTATGTAAAATAGAACATATACGCCCGTGAATTGTATGTAGACAGCGCTTTGCCAAGGGGATGAAACACCGTAACGTCACTCGTATAGGATCGCCAGCGGGTCCATTGGAGGAGAGAAACGGCATGTGTTCATCTCCCTACTGAGAACACCAACAAAAAGTCTACCTTACCATCAATTTGACGGAATATGCGATCCAAAAATCCGAATGATTGAGGTCATCAAGGGCCGGATCCTAAGCTTCCTCATGCCCCCCACGCTCCCGGCCTCCGCTTCTTCCACGGACCTGGGTGTGCCCATGGCCCTTTGCAGCTGTTGGAGTGATCCGGATGGCCAGAAGGACCGACGTGCACGCATGGAGGTGGCCGAAAGGCGGAGGAAGGCAGTGTTTTGGGGTTTGGTTCCCTTGGGCTCACCAGAGAGCCACTCAGGTGGGTAGAAACATGTAGAAACCAAACACCCCCCAATATGTGCTTTCTGGCTGTGCAGGTTCCTTGTTTGAGGCAGATTGGTCGGCAAGCCGCAGTGATCAGCCAAAAACAAGACCATACTTGAAATATCTTGAAATAGCAACAGTAATCGCTATTAGGTTGGAGGCAATTTCTTATTATTAATTGATCAACGTGAATCATGGAGTCTCTCAGACTGTTGAGCAGCCCAGTTTATTTGCTTGGAAGGACGTGGTGGCTGTACTTGCACACCTTTTGCTTTTCACTCCAGCCATTGCTTTTCCGCGTTTGTCTGCCTGTGCCTGACCTGAACAATGAAATATGTGCGTGCAAGTGGCAAATGTGTCCTGTCAAAACTCTTTTCATGTTGCATGTGGTGTTGGATTTCCACTGCATTCCTTGAGGGTGGCAAGCCGGCGCGGCATGGCATTTCATACATCAGTTATTTCACGATATGTCGTCTCTAGGCTGGCGGGCGCACCCGTTCCAAAACCATGCCAAGCTATGACCAAGATGTTTCCTGCGGTCCCTTTTCACATGAGAGTGTCCGAAAACCATGTTTGCGTTTTTGCTAAATGAGGTTGCAAGGGCAAGTCAAATTTGATTCTGTTCACGATGATAGATGCGCAAAGGAAAAGCGGCAGCAGAAGCTTTGTCAAAGGACAACCGTGGCCATAGCATCATAGAATGCAAAACAGAGAAAGCTCGTTCCACTATCAGAAATACACGCGGCAACACCCAGACAGAAACACGGAAGGTGCGCGAGATAAATAACATATTCGTTCGGCATTACTATATACTAACTGGTAACAAGGGCATCGCTACTAGAAAACATTTCGCCCATGTTCGTGGCACTCAGGTGCATTAGCCATGGCCGAAGCAGCCTTGCACGACGATGGCTCCGACGAGCGCATCTATTTGGCCGCTGCCGTGGTGGTCTCCGTGTCGCAGCGCCTGCAGAAGTCGCTGAATGGGACACCGGTGCGGAGTGATTTCGAGGACCCCCAAACGGTGCCGTTGGCGCTGGTGTTGGAGCAGCATGCCCAGCAAGACTTGGAGTGTGTGATGCAGCTGGAGCATGACTTGTCCTCCGCCGCGGCCACAGCAAGGGCAGAAGGAAAAATATCTTTCTTTGTGGCTTTGGCATCACTTTAGGACGGACGACCTAACCTCAAAGTTGAGGGAACTAACTGTTTAACAACTGTTCAACATTGGAAGTTTATTCTCCTCTCATTGCTCCAGCCCATCGCCCCGGCCTGCGATCGAAATAGACGGCATCGGCCAAGGTATATTCTCGGGTTTTGGAAGCTTCTGAGCACGTGAATCGTGCCAAGGAGCACTGCAAGCGCCTTTTTGTCCCTTCCACGTGAGTCCTGCACTGGCTCACCAACTCGCATTTGCATGAGTCAAAAGTGCACCGTGATGCGGCATGTTTTCATCCGGCATATGTCATTGATACTTGAAACGCCAAGTGATCGAGGGCAAAAATTGCCAAACATTCCCAACAGGCTAGATTTTTGGATAGAGTCATTATGGCATTGAAGATCAATGAAGGCCCTCAGCAGCTCTCATGTCTTTCCTGCGGCCCATAAAGACACATGGACCACGGTGGGGCACGCCATTCGCAAGCCAAGGTGAACTGTCAGGTGTCTTGGGGCCGCAGCTGGTGCGCAAGACAGGCGCGATGAGATATCAGGAGGGTGTGCAGGGGTCGTCGGAGATCGTCCTAGAATCTAGGATCATGGAAGCACTCTTCGTTTCACTAAAATTCCACTTCCATGGTAGTGAGTCGGAGAGTATATAATTAAGTATAATTAATGCCAGCCTCGGAGTAGATGTCTCAGCCATTCAAAAACAGAGAGGGAGGTGCAGTTGAACAGTTGAGTAGTCTCAAACAAGAGGGCTTCGTTCCGTTTACCTTGGATCCTCCTGAATGGGGTTTGTCTCAAGATCGGGATTTTTGGAGCGGGAGTGCCCTTTAAGACACGCCCAAGCATTCCATGGGCCACCTCAACAGTTTTTTTTCACACACTCCACCATTTTTGAGTGCAACGGGTGCAGCTGCCAATCAAGAACATGTGACACATGTCGATTCTGGGATTCATGTTGACCTACTCGTCTACTATGTAATACTGTGTGTGTCTGTGTGTTTTTGGCGGGGTAATAGACACATCACACCACAGCACCATGTTGAGACAAGGGTTCTTATTTTCACCTAAAGCCAGGTAGACTCTAGACTCCAGACGGGAATCAAAAGGTGAAATCCGAGTGCGAGATGAATTCGAAGGGCCACAGGATGCCACAAGGGTTTGAGACCGTTTCAGTCCAGATAGCACTACATAGCTGATGGCCCAGTGTCCTTGAGGGTGTGACATCTCCAAAGCGGCCATGACCGGGCTCATCCGGGCTCAAGCCGGAAGCCATCGCTCCGGGCGATGATTCCGAGCTGGGCAGCGAGCGCGGCCGGCTATGGGACGAGTCCCAAAATCTCGGTGGAGTTGACCAACAACGAGGGCCACTGGGCCGGAAGCCTCCGAGTGAACCAAGGATTTTCGAACAGAAGGTTGTTGGATTGTTAATACTTTTCCCGAATGCGTAGCGAAGGGTTCTCGTTTAACTTGGGAGTCTGAGGGTAGAGCTGTGTTTGCCCGACGTTGTTTTCGAGTTCGCAACCGTCCGCAACAGTTTGCAACCGTCCGCAACCGTGCGCAACCGTCCGCAACCGTTTGCAACCGTCCGTATGATGTCTCTATGGCCCTGCCATTTAGGGAAGCTTTTGCAAGTGACTTTTCATGGATGTGTCACGTGTCAGTTTGCGCCGCTATTACATTGTGATTTGCATGAAAATGACATGTCGCGCAAGAAACGTGATGCATTTCGCTGCGCAGGCGCAGGGCTTCGTGAAAGTGACACGTTTGTGTCGGTATTCCTTTGGGATTAGCGTGTGGGGAGTCGTGTTTTTGGGGTGTTGGATGTGGCCGTGCCTTTGGTGTTTGCGTTTCAGGGTGTGGCATCGAAGCGCTGTTTTCGTGACAAGTCTCAGCGGAAATGGTGATTTTGGTGGATGGGAGTGTGCTCAGAATGGGCCGAAATCATTCCAAACGTGTGGTGTGGTGCAAATTTTGTTGAAGCTCACATGAGATGATATTGTCACTTTTCGTGGCAGGCGCACTACTTTGTGCGGGTTTTGAGGTGTGGAAGTGCGATTTTCGTGACAGGCGCAGGGAATCGTGAGGTTGCGATGTGTGATGGAGGTGACATGTCATGGCAGGCGCAGGACGTTGTGCGCGTTAGACGTGTGGATGCGGAAAGATTCGTGGCAGGCGCAGGGAATCGTGAGGTTGTGAGTTGTGGTAGAGGTGAATGTCGCTGTGACATTGGGATTGGCGTGTGAGCGGGTGTTGCTTGGAGGGGCTGGAATCGCGAAACTGCTTGGAAGGGCTGCGCGATGGGTGTGCTCCGATGGGTGTTTCCGCTTGACTTTGGGAGGAAGTCTCGAACGAAACGCTCGTTTTGCAGACTTTGACATGTGAGTTTTTGAGGAAGTCTCGTACGAAACACTCGCTTTGGAGCGACGTGTGGCTCTTGGAGGAAGTCTCGTACGAAACGCTCGTTTTGGAGACTTGACGTGTGACTTTTGGAGGAAGTCTCGTACGAAACGCTCGTTTTGGAGACTTGACGTGTGACTTTTGGAGGAAGTCTCGTACGAGACGCTCGTTTTGGAGACTTGACGCGTGACTTTTGGAGGAAGTCTCGTACGAAACGCAGAGTGTCAAGCAAAGAGTGTCAAGAAAGCAAAGAGTGTCAAGAAAGAGTGTCACTGTCCAGCAAGAATGTCTAGCAAAGAGTGTCCAGCAAGAGTGTCCAGCAAAGAGTGTCAGGCAAGAGTGTCAAGAAAGATTGTCTAGCAAAGAGTGTCAAGAGAGAGTGTCAAGCAAGAGTGTCCAGCAAGAGTGTCAAGCAAGAGTGTCAAGCAAGAGTGTCAAGAGAAAGTGTCAAGAAAGATTGTCTAGCAAAGGGTGTCAAGAAAGAGTGTCAAGCAAGAGTGAGCAAGAGTGTCAAGCAAGAGTGCCCAGCAAGAGTGTCAAGAAAGAGTGTCCAGAAAGAGTGTCTAGCAAAAAGTGTCAAGAAAGAGTGTCAGTGGCAAGCGGGAGTGTAAAGTAAGAGTGTC